CCGGCTGCCACCCCCCGAGGAGCTGCCGCCAGCACGATCGGGGGCCACGGTGCCGGGCAGAGCTCTCGCCTCCATTGCCCTCCTCGCCTACGGCTACTTCATCCTGCCGCTGCCGCCCTACGCCGCCGGCCTCTGCCTGGGGCTCATCTGCGGGCTGGTGCTGGGCTTCCTTGCCGTCCTCCTCCTCATACCGAAGCCTCCGCCGGCAGGACGGGGACCACAGGGCTGCCTGTGCCCCGACCTGCTCCCGGGGGAGCCGTGGGAAACCCACCGCCTCCAGGTAGGAGAGGGGTGGTCTGGGATGGGGTGCTGGGCGGCGGCTGGAGGGGAGCCCAGGGTTTGGGGTGCAGCACCGAGGGGGTGCCGAGCCCGCAGTGGATGCAGGCTGCCACCCCGTATGGCACAGGGGGAAGCAGCCAGCTCCCTCTCCTCCCACCCAGGGCTGGATGAACCAGCTGCACGTCTACGACCCTGAGCTTTTCCACCCCTCGCTCACGCACTCGGTGCTCGCCACGCTGGATGGGGCCACCCTCAAGCTCTCCTACCCCAAGAGCAACATCCCACGCCGAGCCACCTTCGAGGAAGAAATCCTCGACACCGTCTTCGTCAGCCACCGCTGCTATGACCTGACTGATGCCAAGGTGAGTCCGGCAGCGCCAAGGACTCTCCCGTGGGAGTAGGGGACTCTCCCCTTGTGGGGACCCCCAGTGCCCTGGCCTCACCACTGCTCTCGGTGTTGCAGGTCTTCCTCTGCCCCCCAAGCCTGGCCCGAAAGCGGACGTGGAACAAGAAATACCCCATCTGCATCCTCCTCCCCGACCTGGCGGACGTGGAGTGCAGGAGCAGCGAGGAGCACAACGCAGAGCTGCAGAGGAATGAAGGGACGAAGAAGGTGCCAGTGCCAGGCCAGGATGTCCCAGGGGACTGCAGGGAGAGGTGCCTGTACCTCTTCGGGCGGACTGGGAGGGAGAAGGAGGAGTGGTACCAGCACCTCGTGCGAGCCTCCCGTGGGACACCCAGCAGCAGCCACGGCAAAGCCAGGGCAGGTGAGAAGCAGCCATCGTGGCCTCTGCTCTGTGCCGGGTCTGATCCAGGGTGGGAGCTGCACGTGTGCTGGGAGGACGAGCCCTTGGTAGGCAGCAGTGAGCGTGGGGGGAGATGGAGGAGCCCAGAGCCAAGAGCATTTGCAGCAGCAGGGAGAGCCTGGAGGATCCCCCTTGCCAGCACAGGGTGGGTGGCATGTCGCTGGCATCACGGACGGGCAGCACGTCACCGCATGTGCATCGTGGCACGTCACCGTGCGTGCATCGCAGCCAGGCGGCATGTCACCTCTCATGCCATCCTGACCCGCTCATGTCCCCGTGTCTCCAGGTGTGGGACCAGCTCCGCGGAGCAGCAGCAGCAGCAGCGGAGGGAGCGCCGAGGACATCCCCTCCGCTGTCCCACCCAAGGACCTGGCGGGAAGCGTCCGACAGAAGATTTTCCTGGATTACAGCACCTACATGGCCCGATTCGTGCCAGCGCAGGTGGGGGGCAGCCCAGATCGGAGCCCCTCTCACGGAGCACTGGGCAGCCCCACACCCATGAAGGTGAGTGGGACAAATCCAGCACCGGGAGCGGGACACGAGCGCTAAGCAGAGGCTGATGGACCCTGCGTGCAGCCACTTCCAGTCCTGTGGTTTGTCTCCTCCCTCCCGGCACCACGGTTTGAGCAGCCAAGCCATGGTGCAAGGGAGCACCCAGCCAGCGGGTCCCACTGCTCATGGGGCCACCTCACTCCAGGGGCTCGTGGCTTCTGTCCCTCCACAGCTCGGTGAGGACACGGCTGGGCACAGCGAGGCATGCATGGCCTGGATGAACGCGCTGGTGGGGCGCATCTTCTGGGACTTCCTCCGGGAGCGGTACTGGGCCGAGCAAGTGTCCAGCAAGATCCAGAAGAAGTTGAGCAAGATCAAGGTCAGAGGCAGGAGCATCACAGCACCCGGGAGAGCCCCATCCCCAAGGCCCCACGGCGGGTGCCAGACTGTGGTGATCATCCCCATGTGGTTTCCCTCCATCAGCTCCCGTATTTCATGAATGAGCTGACGCTGACGGAGCTGGACATGGGCACATCCATCCCCTCGGTCCTCAGTGCCTCCAACACCACCGTCAATGACCGAGGTAAGAGCCCTGCAGAGCGGCAGGGATCCCAGGGCTGGCTCCACAGCAGCTGTTATCGAGGTGCCAGCCCGGTCCCCGAAGCAGGGAGGTGTCGGCAGGCACACGAGCAGCCCTCGGCCCCTGCGGTGCTGACAGGGGCTTGCCCCGTCCCTCTCCCCGGCAGGGCTCTGGGTGGACGTGGAGGTCACCTACTGCGGCTCGTTGCAGATGACGCTCGAGACGAAGATGAACCTCTGCAAGCTGGGGAAGGAGAGTGCTGCAGAGGAGAGCTGCCCGGCAGAGGCAGGCGGAGAGGGGTAAGGAGAATGTGCATGGCTGGGTTTCATCCTCCTCCTCCTCTTGCCTGAGCGAGGCAAGAGGGTGCTGGCCCCAGGGCACCCCTGTGATGCTCCTTGGGGCTCGCAGCGCCAGGCCACGGCTGATCCTGCTGGCAGACAGCGATGCGGAGTCATCCAGCGCCGGCTCCTCCGATGAGGAAGACGTCGGTGCTGCAGAGCCTGCGGGAGCCCTGGGGGAGCGGGTCCCACCGCCTGGCGCCGAGGGGTAAGGGGCTGTTTGGGGTCTGCGCCACGGGGTGTACGGGGAGATGCTGGGGAGGCACGGTGCTATGCCAGCACAGGGGCTGGGGGCCGGTTTCCCCGGGAGGGCACACACAGGCATCCCGGCACATCATGGCAGCCCTTCATAGGGGACTCCTGACCCTGCGGGGTGCTGTGGCAGACGGCCGGGGGATGCCGAAAGCCAGCACGGCTCTGGGTCTCACCCTGCTGCTGAGCCGTGGCTCCGCTCGCTTTAGCCACGTCAGCAGCAACAGCACGAGCCGGAAGATCCTGCGCTTTGTGGATAAGATCGCCAAGTCCAAGTACTTCCAGAAGGCCACTGAAAACGAGTTCATCAAAAAGAAGATCGAGGAGGTTTCCAACACACCGCTGCTGCTGACGGTGGAGGTGCAGGAGCTGGCAGGCACCTTGGCCGTGAACATCCCCCCACCACCAACGGACCGTGTCTGGTACCAGCTCTCCTTCCTCCCGTGCGGGGACACACGCGCATCCTCCTTCCAGCTCCCCTTGCTCCCTGTGGCTCAGCCAAGGAGCCAGCTCTGGGGCTTCGTGTTCATCTGGGGTGCCAGCAAGCCAGGGCTGTTCTCCCAAAGGGAGTCGGAGACCTCAGACTCGTTTCTCCTGGTCTCCACCCAGGCCAAGACAGGATCTGGGGACCCAGAGCTCCCGCTGCAACCCAGCCACCTCCTCCCAGGAGGCAGGTCCCTAAAACCCAGCAGTGGGGCCATGTGGGCTGTGCCACATATTCGGGACGTGATGCTTTCTGCCTCTTTCCTTTCCCTTTGCAGGTACAGCTTCCGAGTCCCGCCCCAGCTGGAGCTGAAGGTGCGCCCGAAGCTGGGCGAGCGGGAGGTGACGTTCCTCCATGTCACCGAGTGGATCGAGAAGAAGCTGCAGCACGAATTTCAGGTGTGTGGTCTGTTAGAGGGCTCAGCAAACCCTGCTGAAGCACGGGCATCGCTGCGATCAGGGATAATCAGACCTCAGTTTGGGCCAGGGTTATCTCTACAGAAAGCCAACATCTGATCTGGTCTGTCCAGCTTTGGACAGTCAAGAAACACAACCTAAGTAACCAGTTCCAAGGGCTGGTGCTCTGAGCACTAGAGTGCTTGAGGAGAAGTGGTTTCCTCCCAGCATGTGCAGCCCTGCCCCAAACAGGGGGGGGTTAGGAGTGTCAGCAAGTCCCAGGCAGACACCCCCCAGAAGGGCTGAATTCACCCATCCACTCTGGTTTTGGGATGTTTGGGAGATTTACCATCACAAGGTACCCGCTGGTTTGTTTTCAGCCTCTCGCCTTTGAGACCTCTGCTCAAAGAGCAGAAATGTCCCCACAGATGTTTAGGTACCCAAATCCCCCCAAAGAGCTGCCCATTTGAATGGCTTCCAAGTGCTGGTCCCTGCCCTCTGCCATGACCACCCTTGAAGCCATACAGGTGGGCAGGGCAAAGAAAAACTGCTCCTCTTCGTCCCCA